ACATGGCCGTGTGTCCCTGGCCGTGTAGGTAGCCTGAAGTCCAATTAATCGAAACTCGGCGTTTTGACTCTCACACGGGCATCTGGGTAAGCCACACGGTCGTGTGGCCCGCCCGTGTGAGTCGGGAATTCTGGTTTTAACCCAAACTCGAGCCACAAGTGAGAGAATGGACTTTTCAGAGCTGGGTTTTGGTTCCCAAACACCCAAGGGACGAACCCTAGAGAGAGAGCGACTTCGGAACATTCTTGGAGCTATTTTGGAGGATTTCTTCACCATTGGAGCTCGAGAATCAAGTTTGGAGATGGAGATTGAAGATCTATATCAAATTTCTGCAGTCTCTCTCTTCTCTATGGAGTAACTTCCCTTCACTTAGGTTTTGAGGAACCCTAGTTCCATGTGTTAGGATCTTTCTTGTATGAAGTTTTGGATGCTATCTTGTTTGATTATAATCGATTGAGGCATGATTTATAGAGTCAATTTAAGCCTGATCATCTTCTCTTGATTTCTGCTTTAACCTATGATAGATAGAATCTGATTAGGTTAAGAGAGCTTCCTTGATTGATAGTGGTGAATTGGTTGTGCGAGAGTCAATCAATTCACTACTTTGTACTGGAATTCATTCTAGTAGTGGAGATCTGTGTGAATCGCCTTAGCAGTCTATCCCGGTAAAGGCTAGTCGCCTGCCGGGTATTCTGTCTAAGAGGGCTTGGTCAGCTTAAGAGATTCCAAGCTAATTTAGGATCTTTCGCAGTTTAATCAACAGTAGATCAACCAAAGGTAATTGCAACTTGGACCTAATTGAGGAGCTAGGGGGAATCATACCTAAGTGAGTTCCCAACTTGTAATTAGTAGAGTAGTTTAGTAAATCAATCCTTAATCTAGTTTGCTAGATAATGAACTAAAGTTGAGTAATAGTAACTCTAGAGACCTGTGGATTCGATATTTATTACTTGTGCCACTATACTGCAGTCCCTTTCATTGGTTACACTTGGCCATTGTTAGGTGTTGTGTCATAGCGTGTCAGCACTTCTGGCTATAGGCTTGTCTATGGGAAGGCGTGTCATTTGTCAGTAGAGCTAGAACACAAGGCCTTCTGGGCACTTAAGCTGCTAAACTTGGAGTTGAGTGTTGCAGGTACTGAACGTAAGTTGCAGCTGCTGCAGGTGGAGGAATGGCGTTACCACGCCTACGAGAACACCTTGCTCTACAAAGAGCAAACCAAGCGTTTCCACGACGCTCGGTTGAGGGGACCAAAGGAGTTTCAGGTAGGTGATCGTGCTCTGCTCTTCAATGCACGCCTGAAACTCTTCCCGGGCAAGCTACGTTCGAGGTGGTCGGCACCCTTCACGGTCACCCAAGTTTTCCCGCACGGTGCAGTGGAGATCAGCAATGCTCAAACTGAGCCATTCAAGGTGAATGGCCACCTCTTAAAGTTGTACTTGGGAGGTATGGTCGAGCGCGCAGAGCTGCTGATCAAGCTCGAGGACCCTTAGTTCCTCTACTGGCGTCCAGCTAAAAGACGGTAAAGAAGCGCTTGTGGGGAGGCAACCCCCCCAAGGTTTGCATTTCTGTCTTTTTTTCTTCTTTTCATTTTTTGTCGGTTTTTTAGTCTTTGCGTCTGTTTGGAGTCTTTCTAGAATGTTTTTCATGCCCCGGATGGTCTATTTTTTTCTTTGGTAGTGTCTATTTTCGAGCCGAGGCACGAATGGTTTTGGCTGTTCGAAATTGTGGTATAAAAATTGGAGAAAAGGGCTCTCGGCAGTGTAATTACGGGCAAGGGGGGACCAATTACGGTCGTAATTTTCATGCCCCCTGCACGTAATTAAGCCAGAAGAGGATAAGAGCCTTGGCAGTGCAATTACGTGCAGGATCCGACCAATTACGATCGTAATTCTGCCAGTAATTAGCACAGGGGGGTAGTTGGCTCGCGACATTGCAATTACGGTCTGGAATGGGGCAATTACGGCAGTAATTGTGCCCGTAATTGCCCCCTGACTTTTAAAAATCGGGCGACGCCTGTAGTCCCCCTCTCTCTCCTCATTTTTTCTGGTCGCTCTCTCTGTCTCTCCTTCCCCGGAAAATCGGCCCTCTCTCCTTCTCAGGCTGTTTTTCGGCCATAGCTCCCTCACCGGAGCTCCAAATTAAAATTCGAAACCACTCCAGTGCTCCTCTCATCAGCGTGCACAAGCCTATACCAGTGGGGTCGAGTTTGGCGGTGGTTTGGGTCGCCGGTAAACCGCAACTCTTCGGTGTTCTTCGGCCTGATCTCCCTCCTCCGACCTCCAATCGACAAACCGCGACCACCACTGCGTTCATGGCATCCGGGCCCTCATTCCCCAAAGTTTTGGGCCAGTTTGGCGGTGGTGAAGTCGCTGGCGACGAAACTCTGGCGAGCCTCCCGGCGAGTTTCTCGGCGATTGTCGTGGAGTCTCACTCTTCCCTCACCTTCCCCGTGATACCTTCTTGTGCCTCCAGGTGTACTTCTCTATTTTTACTTGTGAATTCTGGAGGATTGATATTACGGTTTTAAGTGAGGGAATTCGGCGATTGGGTTGTGCTTGAATGAATTCGGTAGGCCTACAGTATTGCATGCTTTGTTTGTTACTACTTTGGTTGGCCTACCGGGCAGCATGTGTTTGTGATTGTCCCACTTGGAGCCTAATTTGATATCCTGGTTTATTATCCGAGGGCTCCAAGTGCGTTTAATCTTGTGTGGATGGTGAATGGTTTTGAATGTTTTTCTTCCCTTGGGGCCTAGTCCACTGTCCGAATTTTATGATTCGAGGGCCCCGGGTGCGGATGATTGTGTACTCACCATTGACAAATTTCCATGTATGTTGTTGCGTTTTTGTTGCTTTTTGGCTGCAGGACCATGAAAACTTACCTGAACATGCTCGACGCCAACCAGAGGAAGACTCTACGGGAAATCCGACGCCGCAAAGTCGTTGAGCACCATTACCTCAACTTTGAGGTCTTCGAGGAACTGGGTGCTTGCGAGGAAATGGAGGCTGCCATCCGCGCTTACTCTTGGCGCCGCCTCCTTTGCCTCGCTGAGCCGATTTATCAGGAGCTACTCTGGGAGTTCTATGCCACCTTCGTGCACTTCAAGACCCACGCGGGCGTTCACGGCAACGCCATTTAGTTCCGACTTGGAGGAGAGTCTTATTCCCTCAGCTATGATGACTTCGGCCGGGCACTGGGGCTCCTTCCACCATTCGCCTCCCACCTGGCCATAGACCAGAAGGATTGTCTCATCTTTCGGGACCAGAGTTTCTTCGAGAGGATCTGCGTTCCGGAGTTCGCGGGTGCTGTGTTCACACCGGGCTACACCACTGCTACTAAGCTGCGCCCAGAGTGGCGCATCCTCAACCAGTTATTGGGGAAATCTTACACCCCCAGCGATGGCTCAACCAGTCATCTTCAGCTCTGCACCTTGCACTGCCTGCACTCCATCGGATTTGCACATGTTTTCACCCTTGTTTCCTGACCATTTTAGCTCGAATTTGTTGTTCCTTGGCCTATTTTACGCTAGGTTGTGTTGTTTTGTCGTATTTCAGGTCCTAGCAAGTAAAGAGGTGCATAGGCGCAAGTTTTGGGTCATTTGGAGGTTAGGTGGCGATTCAAAGAGCAAATTATGGGCAGCCCCTGCCCATTTACGGGCGTAATTGCTCCTGGCATGCCCGTAAATGCAATGCCGAGCCTAATTCTTCAGAATTCCTGTCGCAGAGACAATTACGGGCAAGATTCAAAGTAACTACGGTCGTAATTCCATAATTACTGGCAGTAATTGGGTAATTACGACCGTAAATCCTTTCTTCTGAGTTAAGTGAAACGCGCGTTTGGGCAATTTATGGGCAGACCATGATTACGACCGTAATTCAGCCCGTAATTTGCCCAGAATCGGGTTTTTGAGGCTGATTCGAGCCAAATGAGAGGGAGTCGACTTTTTGGAGCAAAAACAGAGTTTTAGAGAGAGAAAGTGCGAAGAACAAACCCTATGAGCTATTTGGAGTGGATTTCTCACCATTGAAGCCCAGATTGCATACCAGGAGTGAAGATTGACATCCCAGAGTAGATTTTCCTCATCTTTATGAGTATGACTACTCTGATTTCTATTTTCCTCTCTCTCTCTCTCTCTCTCTCTCTATGGAGTAGAACTTTCTCTCACTTGGGTATGAAGAACCCTAGTTCCATGTGTTAGGAATCTTGATTGTAATTACGTTTGGATTGTGATATTGCTTGATTATAATCGATTGAAGTGTTTTGATTGAGTCAATTGAAGTCTGATCATCTTTTATTGATTTCTGCTGCAACCTGAGATAGATAGAATCTGATTAGGTTGTTAGAGCTTCTTCATTCGGTAGTAGTGAATCGATTATACGAGAGTTGGTCGATTCACTGCTTTGTACTGGAATCCAATTCCAATATTGGAGTTCTATATTCATTGCCTCAGCGTTCTATCCTGGTGAAGACTAGTCGTCTGCCGGGTAGTTTGACTGAGAGGGCTTGGTCAGCTTAAGAGATTCCAAGCCACTGTCGGATCTTCCGCAGTATAATCAGCAGTAAAGCAACCAAAAGTAATTACAACTGTGACCTAACTAAGGAGCTAGGGGGACTCATTCCCGAGTGACTCTCTTTTTCTTTAGAAAACCGAACCATTTCCTGCTTTCTTACTACTTTTACTTAAATAAAAAATCAATCAACTTAGTTTGCTAGATAACAGATATACACGGAGTAAGCAGTAGATTCAGACCCCGGGTTGACAATTAGAGCTTGCCTGTTACTGCATTTCCGGATTGCGATTATGCTTGGTCACAGTTTGGTGTTGTGTTCTAGCGTGTCACCTGTACCGAAATTTGTAAATCTAGAACATCCCAACATAATTCCTAAACTTATAGGCATACTAACCGGAAAATGTTGCGGTCGAGGAGGTAGGTCAACGGTCTTCGTTTGCTATCGATGGGAAGAGGGGGTTCTGTGCAGGGGAATAGGTAGAGGTAATGGAGGAGACGAGGTGCTGCAATCCCCTTTTCCGCGGAACACAATCGACGAAGAGATGCTCACTCTCGTCGTCCCCGGCTCGCCGCCTTCAGTGTCGTCGTCGGAATTCAGCTCGCCGTAGTCAAAGAGATGATGCAATCAATGAGATTCTTCTTCTCGTCGTTACCCTCTGCTCGCCTTCTTCACTGTCGTCGTCAGAATCTGGCTCGCCGCAGTCGAATAGGGAGAGGTAATGGCAGCGACGAGATCGAAGGAAGAATGGATGTCGGCAGTGAGAAGAAGGTTTCAGATCTACGTGGAGAGGATAAGGATAAGAGAATTCCAAAAAAAAATCACAAACAACCAGTTGTCCGTACACAAATAAAATAATATATTAATAATTGAAATAAAATCAAATGGCTGATATAGTTTGAACATGATCTAATGGTTGTAAACGTTTTATAGCACCAATACTATAAAGCTCACTAAAATGCTTCTACAAGGATTAGTATACAATAATATTTAGACTATTGTTGAGTATAGTAGTATAAACTGCTGCTGGTAGTCATATAAAAAAATGTAAAAGAGAGAAAAGAGGTTTGCAGTTGCACCTCTACAGCTTGATGTAATTTTTTGATAACCATAAAAAATTCATTCAAACAGAATGATATCAATTAAAATTTAGTCTGTGTACTCCTTCCCATTAACCACTAAAGTAATTATAAGAAAATAATCTCCTAAAATGTAATGTAACTAGATTCAACTCTTTGAGGCGAATACTCAAATTGGACATGATGTCCTGCTCCTCTACCAACATATCTCACTTGATATTCTGCTTTACCTTCAAATTTGCTGATCTTTTCAATCATTCAATCCCAAGCTTTGAGATATTCTTCTTGAAACATTTTAAACACTTTAGGAGTGTTGACTCGCTATGACACAACATCAAACTACGACCAAGTATAATCGTAGAATGGAAAAGCATAATAGTGGGTAAGTTTTACTTATCAACACGGGGCCTAGATATACTGCCTACTCCGTGATTATCTATTATCTAGCGGTGAAAGTTGAGTGAGAGTGAATTTAAACTAAAGGAGAAAGAAAGCAGCAAGTTGTTCAGTTTTCTAAAGCAAGAGAAGAGTCACTCGGGATTGAGTCGCCCTAGCTCCTCAGTTAGGTTCAAGTTCTAATTCCCTTTGGTTGTTTTACTGACGATTAGACTGCGGGAGTTCCTAAAATAGGTTGGAATCTCTTAACCTGACCAAGCCCTCTTAGACAAAATACCCGACAGGCGAATAGCCTTCACCAGCATAGACTGCTAAGGCGATTCACATAGATCCCCTCTACTTGGAATGAATTCCAGTACAATGTAGTGAATTGACTGACTCTCATACAATCAATTCACTACTATCATTGAAGAAGCTCTTATAACCTAATCAGATTCAATCTATCACAAATTAAAGCGGAAGTCAAGAGAACTTCATCAGAATCCAATTGATTCAATAAACATGCCTCAATCGATTGATTAAAATCATCTAGTATAACATCCAAAAGTCATTACAATCAAGATTCCTAACATATGGAACTAGGATTCTTCATACCCAAATGAGAGAAAGGTATACCCCAGAGAGAGAGAGGAAAACAGAAATCAAAGCAGCATACTCATAAAGATGATAATAATCTGCTCTGTGATGTCAATCTTCACTCCTAGAGACACAATCTGGGCTTCAATGGTGAGATATCTACTCCAAATAGCTCCTATGGTTAGTTTTTTGTCACTTTCTCTCACTTGAACTCTATTTTTGCTCAAAAAAGTTGATTCCCCTTCCTTTGGCTCGAATATGCCTATTTACCCCGATATAAGGCGAAATACGAGCATAGAGAGAGAGAGAGAGAGAGGAAAATAGAAATCAAAGCAGTCATACTCATAAAGATGTGAATAATCTGCTATGGGATGTCAATCTTCACTCCCAGAGACACGATCTGGGCTTCAATGGTGAGAAATCCACTCCAAATAGCTCCTGTGTTTGTTTTTTGTTACTTTCTCTCACTATAACTTTGTTTTTACTCCAAAAATTTGAATCCCTGTCCTTTGGCTTGAATATGCCTATTTACCACGATACTAGGCGAAATACGGGCAAGAGCACGGTCGTGCTTCTCCTCTGACCATGCCGGGATCACGGTCGCGTTTGGGCAATACATTGGCAGTATTTTGAAAAGCATCAGCGGTATTTAGTAAAGCACGATCGCTCTTTAGTCTTCACCTGCGCGTAATTTGCCTTCCTTCAGCAATCTTCAAGGGCTAGCCTCGTCCATAAAAACATGAGCAAGATGTTAGAGAAACACGATCGTGATTTTGGAAAGTTTGACCATATTTTGCACCTGAGTCATCACCACACTCAGCCAAATAAACACCGGTAGGCATCAAGAGAAGCACGGTCGTGCTTTTGGTAAGGGATGACGGTATTTTGTCTCCGGAATTGCCAAATGATCTTCAAACGAACCAAAACTTGCGCCTATGCGTTCTTCTACCTGCTAAGACCTGAAATGTCACAAAATAGCACAACCTAGCGTAAAATCGGTCAAGGAACCACAAATGTCTGCCTAAGCTAAGTCATCCTAATCAGCCTATCAGTAAGAGCTCGTCCTAAGAGTGACACACACATCACTGACCAATCCTCATTTGGTATATCTAGCATGACGGGATCACCGTCTATCGCTAGACGAGTCAATGTCGCAATGTCCTCAAGAGTGATCGTACACTCACTGAACGACAAGTGGAAAGTCGATGTCTTGGACCACCAATGCTCAACGAGCGTAGTGATCAGACTTGCATCAGCAGTTAAGGATGGCAATGGGTCGGGTTGGGGGGGTTTTGCCAATCTCAAAGCAAAACCCATGGGTTTATCCACCAAAAAACTTGGGGTAAAACCCGTTGGGTTTGAAAAACTCAAACCCAACCCAACCCGCTAGGTATCCGTAGATTTTTTTGGTAAATTTTTTTCAATAACAATTAACAAGAACAACACGGTATCTCCACGATCCTCACCACTTCAAGACCTCCGAATATGCACTTCCCCCAAATCAAAAACCCCAAATTAGTAATTACACTTTTATTCCACAATCGGGAGTTCTAGAATTGGGTAATTGAAAAGAATCAACTCTAAAAATCAACCAACTCTCTCTTACCTGGATGAACACGCCAGATATAGCAGAGCTCCAGACGATGGTGAAACAGGTTAGAGATCATCAACATTAATCTGGCTAGTGGCTAGGGGGAATCATACCTAAGTGAGTTCCCAACCTGCAATTAGATTCACTTTAATTGTAGTTTGCTATAGTAGTTTTAGTTCTTTCATCTTAATCTGGTTTGCTAGATAATGAACTGAAGCTGAGTAATAGTAACTCTAGAGACCCGTGGATTCGATATTTATTACTTGAGCCACTATACTGCAGTCCCTTTCATTGGTTACACTTGGCCTTTGTTAGGAGTTGTGTCATAGCGAGTCAAGTTTTTGGCGCCGTTGCCGAGAAACTTTCTAGATTATTAGGAAAGGCAGAAGTTTGTTACTTTAGCGTTTTTCTTTTCTTTTCCACCCTTGTTTTTCATTTGGGTGTTTTTGTTTCTGTTGGTGCAGATCTGAATCATGGATCCTCATGGCTTCTCCAACCATTGGGGGTATCCACCACCATCCGAGTGGTATTACCCCAAGACCCCTTGGAGCAATCAAGAAGGAGAAGACTATGGATTCGGGTTCCAGTACCAACCCCCTTACTACGGAGAACAATCAGACCCCTCGGCATATCAAGAACGACCTCATTACCAAGAAAACTTTCTCGCACAACCAGGATGGCCATCGGAGCTTGAGTTACCCATGGTGGCCTTCACGGGCCATTCTGCAGAGCCATGCTACACTCCACAGCCATATCCAAACTATGAATTGAGGCTTCTCGTGGAGCAGTTTGCTCGGGACACCGAGAGACGCAATCGCAAGATGGACCTCCTTTTCTCATCTTTTGCTCTTCCTAACTCTTCATCCCTCCGTGAATCGGAGGAGACTGTTTCTCACTCATCAAAGCAACCAGAGCGGGTTGAGCAAGTTTGTGCACAACTTGCTCAAGATCACCCGTCTGCTACCATACTAGAAGAGGAGGAGGAAGAAGGCCACAAGGACATTGTGGAGCAAACAGAAGTTATCACAGAAAGCTCCCGTGAAGATCATGATCAAGAATGTCATGTCGTAGCCGACCACCCCTTCCCACGTCCCACACCGAGCTTTGAAGAGGTGGGCATGAGTGAGGAGATGCAAGAAGATCTCATGAAAGAAATTGCTTGGCAACTTGCTCTCCAATCCGTACTAGAAGAAGAAGAAGAGCAAGAAAGGGTGCAGAAAGAAGTTGTGGAGGATGACGAAAGTGAAGCAGAAGGATTTCTTGACCATTTCCCAGGGGTGATACCACATGAAGAAGAAAGGGAGGTTGAAGAAGCAATTGGCGTCCAGGCCGAGGACGAAGTTGAGGTGGAAGAGGCTTGCACCGACTATGAGTTACATGTGATATCTCCACTAAACTTCGAGGAATTGCTTAGCAAGGACCCATTTGCAGTGTCTCTTTGCCAGACCAAGGCCACGTCGACATCGGTTCCTCTTGGTGGATGCGATGGTGGTCAATCGATGTTGTCATATCAAGTTTGGGGCAATGAGACGAGAGAAGAGAAGAAGAGGTCTCGAGGGTGGAGATGTTATCTGCATCAAATGCATGAGCTTCCATCACCTGTCATACCACATGCTCGTGACTTGAGACTCCACCTCATCGACGAGAACCTCAACTTCAAGGAGGTTCTGGGGTGGACCGAAACTTAGGAGCCATCGTCGGACTCACGACGTGAAAAAAGCGCTTGTTGGGAGGCAACCCAACCAGTCGGTTTGCATTTCTTTCTCTATTTCCCCTCGGTTGAGTCAGTTTTGTTATTTTATTTTAGAATCAATAACTCAGCCTTTATGAGATTTTGTGTGGTGTTTGTGTTTCGACTACTCTCTCCTCCTGGAATGCACCGCCTGCCCCGTCCATTATCATTCACCCTTAATCTGTTAACTTCGTTCTACCCTCCTTATCTTTCCTCCATTGAGGACAATGTCGTGCTTAAGTGTGGGGGATGTTCGATTATGTATGCAGGTGAATGTTTGGCTGTTTGTGTGCCTGGAGCCTAGTCCACTGTCCAAATTTTTAAATTTGAGGGCTCCAAGTACGTGTT